GACAGAGGAATTTAATCCATCCCGACCTACGTATTTTACCACGGCCAGTTCTTTGACTTTCACCTCTTGGCGAAGTTGCCCTCGTCCTTGTTTACGCCCGGGCTCTATTCCTATATTTTATACGACACACGTAACGCATTGTTTTACCTGACGTTGCAACGGCTGCCGTTTCCTCTGTTACTCTATATCGATTGGCTCCGCATTCCCTCCTGGATCTTCAAATCAGAAACACAAGCCCAAGCTTGACCCCTTTGCAATCATGTCTACTGCTCAGTCTTTTCAGTCCGGTAAGCGCCCGCCCCTTGATTTCGCTTTAATGTGATCTGCGACAACCACCCCATTCCCGAAGCTTCCCCTTCTGTTTTCACCGGGATTCGCGTCCGACAGCTGGCAAAGCTCGGCGCTTGGAATCTTGTAAACAAAGGAGACTAGATCAACTGTAATGTTGAATGGATCGCAAGTCAACTTGGCGCAACAATTCACCTGAAGCTTGCTGGTCGGTCCACTTGGCTGGCATCCATCTTGTGTCATGCTGAGGAGATTGTCTGTTTCATCTTGGTCCATCTGTTGTCGTCATTGTATGCATGCGCCCGTTTATCTGGCACCCAGCTGATAAGTTTTCTTGGAAACAGGCCACACCAGTTCTGGCCAATCTCCTGGTCTCACGCTCAACTTATCTTCTAATAACCCCTTCCGCAACCGCGCACCATCTCCAGCCAGTGCCGACCTTCTTTTCCCCAGCAAACCCGCCTCTCCCTTTGACGACCCCCCAGCACGACCTTTATCTCGAAATCCATTTCTCGATCAGCCGCCGGTTGATTTATTGTCACAGCCTCTTAGGTCACCTGGTGCGATGTCGTCTCACTCAGACTCTAAGTCTCTTTCAGCCGAGGAAATTTTTGTATGTACTTGAGTCAATATCTTTCTCCCACTACCTCAAACATGCAGGGAAATGATTAATTCTCGGTGGTGTCAACGATGATTCCTTGCACTGATACTAACCGGTCACTAAACAGAACTCGATGACCCTCGATGATGCTTCTAATGACCGAGCAAGACAGCAGGCCACTCGGCGACCGATGAACGGACCGCCTCCAAGACGCGGCGGCGAAAACCCGCCCCCTGAGAGTGGCAGCCACCGCCCTTCGCGTTCCCAGGAAGAAGCTCTTCGTGCTCGAAGGATGCAAGGCTCCGGACCCCGACCGCAACAAAGCTCACCGCAACGACGTGCCCCACCACGACGTCCTCGACGAAATTCTGAGTCTTCTTTGGTCGATTTTGATGCGCGTCCAATTACGGAGGAGGAGAAAAGAATGATCGAGGCGGCTCGGCGACGCGAATACGAACGACAGCGTCGCGGAGAGGGCAAGGAGCGCGGCGATAGAAGCGACCGCGACCGCGACCGCGATCGTCGGGAGCGGGGAGATAGGGAGAAGACCAGTCGCCCAAGCAGAAAGATGGACATTATTGATCAACTTGATGCCACAAGCATTTACGGAACTGGCCGTACGTTCATCTCCTCCCTGACCCTAGAATTCATTGTTGCTAACACAGTACAGTGTTCCATCATGATGGACCCTTCGACGCCTTGAACCCCCACCGAAATCGCCAAAACGCGAGACGTGCGCCAATGCAGGCCTTTCCCAAAGATTCGCTAAACAACTCTCTTGGAGGCGCTGGGCCGCTTAATGCTCGAGCTGACCATTCAGTTCTCATGGGAAATGCCACAGATGAGGCATTCAGAGATTTTTCTGCACCTTCAAAAGCCCGTAGTAAGGAACCCGCCATTTTTGATGCCTCAGGTCGAGACCAAATTGTCCATGGAGATGAGTCTGTTGGCCTGGGCACCTCAACTTTCTTGGAAGGGACCCCCGCTGCGCGAAGTGCTATTCAGCGTCACCAGGCTGAACAGGCCCAGGAAAACATGGAGAGTGGTCTACAGCGCAAGAAATCCCTTGCACAGCGCATTCGCCACATTAACAAGGGTCCCCGCGATTATAGTCAGTCAGGGCGCCCCAATGGCGAATATTCCAGAATCACCCCAGATGCCTATCCGACAGCAGCCAGCACCAGCTCAGACAACAATCCCTTCTTTGCAGAATTCGGTAAAGGCGAGGAAGGCTTCAGTGCAAGGCCGCGAGATGGCTCAATGACTTCCAACAGCCCTCCTGGAGCGAGACGCCCTTCTGCCGGAGCTGTCCTTGAACGACGGGCGACAACTGATGCCGCTACAACTTTGGATGATGCCCCAGCAAAGCCCACCGGGCTTATGGGACGAATGAAGAGCCTTAAGGGGCGGAAGCCTCGGCCAGAGATACCTAGCAACGGGCCCGGTGTGCCCGGAACGGCCGTTTAGTGGAGGACAGGTGCCGGGCGACTCCTTGACTCAAGTCGAAGTCCAAAGCGATGGCAGTCAAGGCAGGACAGCCTTGCGGAGAATATGAATGAGCACGCGAATGAAAGTTCGTGGGCTAATAGTCTGCCAACACGAGATCAAGAAAATGCGGCGCCGAGAGAGGCAGAGAGGTGTGCCGCGTACGCCTCAAGCACGGTACAAGAATCTGAACCATTGCTTTACGAAACTGCAGAGGTTCAAGCAAAGAGACTTGGCCAGGCGCACAATTATTCAAGAAAACGGTATACAAATGCGACGAGATAAGGTCTAATTGGTCTCTCCATATACCGATGAAGTTTCTATTTATTATCTTCTTTTTGTTGAGTTTGGGATGGGGCGGGCAGCATGGGTTATAGGAAATCAAGCCCAAAGGTCGAGTCGTTTGCTCTGTTTTGGAGATTTACCAGGCAGGTCTGACTTAGCAGGAACCTCAAGAGCTTGAGTCGTCTCCAAGTCGTCACGTTGCCAGAGGGGACCTGGGACTGCCGACCGAGACCTGGGAGGTTTTTATGAAGCCTTTTTTGTATGTTTTATATCAGGACTTGATGTCTGATCATGGCATCAATAAATTCAAATGCGATGTTATCGTGTGCAAACAATTAGCTTGGTTCTGCCTTGATTTGCGCCAGAGGTTGTTAGTCACTTCAAGAGATAATACCATCCTCAATTTTGAGTATATCAATCCTTCTGATGTCATGTCCAGCACTACTTTAAAGGAAAGCATGCAATTCATGATTTGTTATGGCAGTATTAAGCTGGTCTGGTTGTTGTCGCTTTAGGGCTATCTTGAAGCCCATCTTATGTAAACCATGAGGAGCAGTTATGCACCTGGACCTTGCATAGCACCAACCGAAATATAGTACTAGGCCACAAGCTACCTTACTCCATGAACCCATCACAGAGCCTCCCTTCACAGGCAAGCTCCCACTTTCAGCTTGAACCAATTCCCGCAGCAATACTGGCCGATAAAGAGGTGAAAAGGCGCGATGCAATCGCACTGTTGGGAGCCTGCAAGACAGGATGCAGAGTCATTGACGAGGAGGTCATGCTAGGAGGCTTTGAACGCGGAAGCGTTGTGGGTATCAGCGCGGAAGATGAAGAGCTAGGGGTTCAGGTGAGATCAACAATCAGATAAAGTCGTTGGTTGTGTGAAAGAAACGTTGGACTAATTTTCGGCATCAGCTTGGTCTCCAGACACTTGCACATTCGCTTTGTGAAGGCACGGTTACAAGTGGCCTGCTCATCACGCCCAGGCCAGCAAGTGTAATGCTGGCCGGCCTGAGAGACGCGGTGAAGTCCGAACTCGAGGCTGAACGGGGCACAAAGGATACTATAAGGGTGAGACTCAGACAATGTCTTGAAAAAGTCATGCTGTCTTGTGTATTCGACATGGATGGCCTTTGGGAGGCACTGGCCGATCTGGATTGCGAGGTGGTTGAAGAGAAGGATAGTGCGGTGCAGGACCAAGACCAAGGGGCAACAGACATCAGACAACATGATACAACATATCAGTTTGACGAGATCCAGGATAGCCAGGATGACGATGATGTGGCCTTCTCCCCCATTCATCAAGCTTCGCAGCCCCTGGCAGAGGAGCCGTGTAACAAGACGCAACAGCACCCAGACGTTATCGTCATTACGCATTTCTCATCCCTTCTGACGGGTCTTTTCTTTCACCGCGAAAAGTCAGCAGCGCATGCCGCGCTTCAGCTTTTGAGCTCACACCTCCGCGATCTCTCGCGCAATCTATCCTCGAAGCCACTTATTCTTCTACTGAACTCGACTTCAGCGGTATCATCGGGTCCAGCACTCGCAACCGCAGCGTCACCAGCGAAGCAAAGCCAAGTTGATCCAACACTACGATCTATCTTCAACCCACCACCATTGACCGGCTACAGTGCCCGACGCACGAAACCAAACTTCGGTCTGATATTTACGCAACTACTGGACTTGCACTTACTGTGCACAAAGGTTCCAAAGACAAGGCAGGATGCTGAGGGAGCAGTGAGGCAGCTTCCCGGGGACGAGATCGAGCTGGTATGGGTCGTGGAGGTGTTGTTGGATGAGCTGGGTGTATGGGAAGGTCATACAGGAGCTAGGTCCGGAAGGGAGCAGAGATGGGCGGCTGTGAAAGTTGAAAAGGGGAGAATTGGTCAAGCAATTGATGAGAAGGAGCCCGAGGCTAAAATCCCAAATACAAGCGACGTGAGGGTTGCGGGCGGTTTTGGAGGACGCAGAGTATAATTATGGCAATTTGTAACGACCGGTGGAGTATACGAAGTCCAAATTTGGGCAGGCTTGCGATGCCCCTGTGGCTTTGAAGATGCGGATTACGGTATAGTTAGTTACTTGAATCTAGGTATGAGCAGGGTAGATAGCTAAAATGCCTTGTATCTACTTATACAGAGCTCTGTAACTGATGGGCATTCGTAGTATCCGTATGATGCTGTGCTATGACAAATTGGAGCGCACCCGCTCTATTTCCGACGGGCAGCCAACCAATCATATCTCGACCGCAAAACGACCCTTTTGAAGCCTCATCTTGGGTTGACTCTAAAGTTACATGATCTGAGCCGTGGTGCCATTGCCAACCTTCCCAACCAAGATGCCCAGCTCATGCAAAGAACTGCGTAAGCTACTCACTGACCCTGACATACAGCCTGCATGTCAATCATTCTAACACCCGATGCTTTCCCAGGCGAAGCACTCGCGCAGTGTCTCCAAGAATCCGACTGTGTCATGGTTGAGCGCAACAGCGCCGCCGACTGCCTCCGCGAGCCCCTCGTCAACACCCTCCCGCTCAAGTGTCGACAGCTGAAGAAGGGCTTCGGCGAGTGCAAGCGTGGCATGGTGGACATGCGTAAAAGATTTCGAGGAAACATGCCCGTGGCATACCGTACGATGGAACAGGCCGAGGAGGGTCAAGGATATCAACTCTATGCCGGACGCCCGGCGTTTGCTGGCGGTGTCAAGAAGACGGACGGGAACGAACCCATTCCTCAAGATTGGAGAGAAGTCGAGAATGAGAAGTGGAAGGCAGAACAGGCAGCCATGGAGCAGCAGAAGAAGAAGTGAGATGCATTCTATCATTTTCGGCGTTTTGAGGACCATGGTCGTATCAAATACTCGTACGAACAGTCGTTACCATGCAGCACATGTCCCATCGCGGTAAAGGCTTGATTCGGCCGGGCAATGATCTCCAACGCTGAGGTTGAGCTGAACCGACTGAGCTGAAACAGTTCTACATAACGAACTTGACAGACGAAGACTTTTAGATATACCCAGAAAGGAGAAGAAGAAAAGGAAAAGGGGTGGAATTCTCACGTTCTGCCGTGTTATAAGGCTGCGATTTGCTCTGCTCTCTTCCCAACATTTGTACGATATCTGTATTATAGTAGGTATCCCCCACCTGGCTAAGTTACCATGTACCATGTACTTAGCCAGTCACATTGCCAACCCGGGTTACAGCTCAATCAGCGTCAATAGCCTTGGACAACAGTGGTCAATTCATGCTTATTAGCGTGCTAAATTAAAGTTTCTGGTCCGTGTTGGGTTTCAAGTTTTCCACCTGGACCTGGACCTGGACCTGGCTGCATCTCACCCGACCTCACTTATTTACCTACCTAAGGTAGTAGGCCTAGGTAGGGATGGGCATGTTCCCCACAACCCCGAGGGAAATAATAAAGCCCATCATCAGTAACAAGAATCGACCAAGGTTACCTGCCATCCTACCATAGTTCATATATAGTTTACCTCCTTTCATAGGCTAAGCTCGCACCTGGCCCAAGAGGGAAGTCATCCTCGTGTGTCCTGCGTCACACTTTGAACACACCCACCCACTCTCAGAACACCAGACGCGTTGCATACTGGACCTATCCTTGTAGAAAGTAAGAAAGAAAAAAAAAAAAAAAGGGCAGTGGTAGGGTTGGGAGCAGTCTGTAAATTAGTGGCTTCTTGGTTTAATCGCTTCGCCATGGCTCGACGGGCTATTCGGTGTTTAATACTTTGTGCTATTTGCTACCATTTCCCCATTCCTCTTAGGTTAACTACCTACCTAAGTTAGTAGATTGGGTAACCTTCTTTTTACCTTACTGCCTTCCCTTATCTCCCGCTTCTTGAACGGTCTCACCACGGCCGCCTGAGACGCTCAGTTACATCTGTGTGTTGCAGTAGGGATATCTCTCCCTTCTCTCCTGAGCTCAACCCACTCATTCACCTGCCCAGCGCCGACTCAAGCTGCGCCAAGGCCAAGGCCAAGGCCAAGTCGAATCAAATCAAATCAAATCAAGTATCTTATCCATCGCCTCGCCAAATTTAGTAATGCGGTCTGGTCTACAACTGGCGCCGCTGTCGTTGTCGTCATAACTTCACTACCATCCTCGCCCTCAATTCGCATCGTCGTATCTATATCTCCTCTCCGGTTCGTGCAGCCACAGACGATGGCCATCATGATCACCGCACCACAGCGGCGTCTACTCGTCCTTCTCTCGACTTTCTTCTTCGTATTCAGCATTTTTTATTGCTGTTCGCGTCTCGCAGCATTGACAGTCGGGCCCGTGGAGGTCGAGGACGAAGTCTTGCGCCCACAAGTCGAACTTCTCAGAGCCGATAACCCCATGTCTTACGGCATGTATAACAGACCGCGCTACGATGGTATCGACCTCATTAGGAATCTACACAGCGAATACGTCCCTACAGCAAAGAATGGAAGGAGGTTGGTCGTGGTTGGCGATATCCACGGCATGCTGGACCCCTTCGAGAAACTACTCAAGAAGATCGAATTCAACCCCAAGACAGACCACGTTATTGCAGTTGGCGATATGATTAACAAGGGCCCCAAGTCTTCCGAGGTAGTTGCTCGTCTTATGGAACTCAAAGCCAGCGCGGTCCGTGGCAACCACGAAGATCGCGTCATTCTTGCATGGCGCGGCCTCAGTTCTCAACAGGGCGTCGCCGCCTACCTCGATACCAAAGATGCCGCCAAGCACAGGGGCGAGGAGGCAGACTTGAAAACAGCTCGCAGTCTCTCCGAGGCGCAAATGACGTGGCTGAAGAACTTGCCGGTCATCATATCTGCCGAATCCATGGCCCTCTACTTCGTGCACGCCGGTCTCGTCCCAGGCGTCCCGCTCCCTCAACAAGACGCCTGGGCTGTCATGAACATACGCACCTTGCGGTTTCCGCGCGAAGAATTCCGTAAGAAGGAGATAGAAAAGAAACGAAAGCAGGCCGAGAAACAGCGACAAAAGGAGCTAGCAAAGGCGCAGGAGGACGCGCAGGCAAAGTTTCAGCAGCGCAGTTTCGTTCCCGGGGAAGAGGCCACTGACTCGCATGCCCACGCTGCACGCGCTGCACGCGCTGAATCCGCTCCAGCCGATTCCGCAGGTGCCGTGTCGACCGATGAAGCCGCCGCCGAACGCACGAACCCTGATCGCGATGTATGGATTCCCATAGATGGTCACGAAGGTGAACGATGGACCGACCTATGGAATAGCGAGCAAAAAAAATTGCGAGGACCCGACCGTCGTTCTGTCATCTACGGCCACGATGCCAAGATGGGCTATCAGGAGGACTCATACACCTTCGGCCTCGACTCTGGTTGTGTTAAGGGTAACGCCCTCACTGCCCTGGTTATCCAGGCCAAGGAAGAAGGCGGCTGGAAACACTCAACTCATCAGGTCATGTGCAAAAAAGGATGGTGGTAAGGTCTTCACAATTTCGATGATATGATATCATGCTGTACAATGATGGTTTTAGGTCAATACTTGGGCAGGCGGGTTCACGCATTTCAGTTAGATGGCGTTATGGGTCATGATAATGACAATGATGGGTCCTTTCTTGTCAAGATACATAGACGGGAGTTCTCACGTAAACTTAAGATTACGGTTCATGATGTTTGATGGATGATTCTGACCACTTTTTTGGGCTCATATCCTCGATTTTCGTCATTAAGCCACTATCTGTTTCAATGGACGCCTCATCCACAAGGCAAATTACAGCCAATGACTTCGCCTTAAGCCGAGGAATACTAGATGGATATGAACTATAGAAGATGTGTGGTATAAGCAACGACAACTCCCCAGCAAAGATCGTGAACAAATTATAGTTGGTTGTTCGCAGTCAGCTTCAGTGCTTTCTGCATTCCCACGTTGACACTGTCCCATTTAACTTTTTAATCATTCTCTCTTAAATCATTAGGCATGCAAGAGATTTAGGCGAGCTTCTCCTTGAGGATGCTCTTGAGGGTGACAGCATCAGCAGCGAACTTGCTGATACCCTCTCGGAGCTTCTCAACGGCCATCTGGTCCTCGTTGAAGTCGAAGCGGAAGAGAGCCTCATCATTGATATAGGACTTCTTCTCAATATCTAGAGAAGCAGCCTGGGAAGCATCAAGCTTCTTGGGAACGGGCTCATTCGAGTTCAGAAGGTCCTCGAGCAGGTTAGGCTGTAGAAATTAAAAGTTAGCATTCTTGGTTCCTATTCGCAACACAGGTTCGATGTGACATACAGAGATGGTCAAGTAGTCGCAGCCAGCAAGCTCAGTGATCTCGCCGGTGTTTCGGAAAGAGGCGCCCATGACGATGGTGTTGTAACCGTACTTCTTGTAGTAGTTGAAGATGGTCTTGACGGACTGAACACCAGGGTCCTCCTCCTTAGAGTATTCCTTCTTGGTAGAAGCCTTGAACCAGTCAAGAATGCGGCCGACGAAGGGAGAGATGAGGTAGGCACCGGCCTCGGCAGCACCAATAGCTTGGACAAGAGAGAACATGAGGGTGAGGTTGGTGTTGATGCCGTGGTCGCGCTGGAGAATCTCAGCAGCCTTGATGCCCTCCCAGGTGGCGGCGATCTTGATCAGAATGCGATCCTTGGAAATACCCTGTTCACCGTAAAGCTTTAAATTTATGTTAGTACTTCATCTGGAGTGGCACCCTGTTGCTATGGTGGCTTACCTCAATGAGGTGAAGGGCCTTGTTGACAGAAGCCTCGGTGTCGAAAGAGTATCGGGCATCGACCTCAGTTGAGACCTTGCCGGGAATGATCTTAAGGATCTCCTTGCCAAACTCGACAAGGAGACGGTCGAGAGCATCATCGACCTGCTGGTCGATAGAGCCACCCTTCTGCTTAGCATAGTCAATGGCGACATCGATCAACTTGGCGTACTCGGCCTTCTTGGAGGCAGCGAGAATGAGTGAAGGGTTGGTGGTGGCATCCTGAGGCTTGTACTTGCCAATGGCTATTGAAATGTCAGCTACTATTCATTCTCTCATATCATGCCATGTCACATCATGGCGATCATGACTCCTTATGTCATATGGGCGAAGTTGGAACTCTTGGTCAGGATAGCCAGAGTCGTGGTCTCGGGGCGCATAATGATAGGAATGTATACTAACAGACAAAGTCACCTAAGAGTAAGAAGTTAGTAAAGTACTTGATCAAGCCCAGGAGGTGCGGTAATTACCAGAGTCGGACACAACAGTCTATCGAGGTGGAAACAAACAAATGGTCAGCTATCAATTTCTCATGGGAGACCTAGATACGGAAAGGCGAAAACAACATCTGATCCCGAGGATGACCAAGAACGAGGAATTGGCGAGTCCAATTGATCAGAGGTGTTGGTTATCAAGCTCAAACATGATGCCATGCTCGCTTTTGTTCGCGTTCACAAACGAGTTGGAGGGGTAATGGTGGGGTGACATACAGTGCCGGTGGCCTTGAGCTGTTCGAGAGAGGAAGACATGATGAATGGTATTGATTCGTATCACGGATAGTTTCGTTGAAGAGTTGAGAAAGTGAGATGCAAGGAAAAGAAGAGAAGAGGAATGGAAGAAGAGGAAGGCGAGGGTACAACAAGAAAAAAGATTGGGGATTCCACCGAAAGTCGGGAAGGGACCTGACGTACACACGACGACTGGCGCCTAGGTTCTTTACTGTTCGTCTTCGCCCCTCACCCTCAACTCGTACTCTCTGACTTCACCCCTCCTCCGTGTGTTTGAGCCCATAACTACGTCGACTGCCCCACTACCTACCTCTAGAGGTAAGGTAGGTATCTTACATAGGATCGTGCTTGGTAAGGT